CCTGTTCTATGCCCCTGCTTATATTAAGCAGTAATAGTAAAATAGTCAGAGAACGAGTCAAGGTAAGAAAGAGGAGAAAAGCAGATAAACGAAAAAGGCAAGCCAAAGATCAGAAGATCAGAGAACATGGTAAATAAGTTAACTAGCCAAGATCAAAACCACAAATCAAAACTTCAAATAAATGTGCTATTGGGTCAGCAAAAACTACAATGGGGCATGTAGCTAGTGGCAGAAAGGGTTTAAATACCCAAAGTTGAAAGACTAGTGGGTCATATCATTCCTGTGAGCCAAAAGGTACATGAGCGATTAAGCTTCACGTCACCAATGATGCCAGAATGACACAACTAGTACGTTGAGTGTGTATTATGAGTCGTGGCAAAAATGACGCAAGAACAGCGTAACTCTTCAGGCACACTTTGAGATGCATCAAAAATGGTGCAAAAATGACTCTTCACGAACACTATGTCAGTAATGATGTTACATTGAAGCAACCCTTAACCAGTTTAAGTGTTGGTGGGGGTATAGCATGCTGTGTCAGTTGATGCCAGGCAAGCTGGAGATGGCTCTAGCATGCATGGCAAATGGATGGCAAATGAACTCCGAACTGTTAATTAGATCAGATGCATGTTTCGTTATTTAATTTTGTTACTTTTTCAATTTTTTTCTTTTTTTTATATTTCTTCTCCTAATTCCAGGTTATACTCATACGGTTTTCTTTTTCTTGATTAGGTCACATAGGTCAATCCTGTGTTAAATTTTGTGCTATTTTGCACTTATGTGATAACTAGCAGCTATCCTGAGAAGTACGTGTGAATATTTAAAACTGGCACTGAAAGAAAATCAGATTTTTTTATTTTTTTTATAATACTAGTCAGAGCCAACATAAGATGTTGTTTCCTCTGTTTGTTTTTCTAGATACACGATGATGAACGTGTTTTAGCAGAAAACTGTTAGTCTGGTGTATGTTTATATGAAAACAAACCATATGTTATATTTTTTTTTTTTCATGAATATAAAGGCATGTAGAGTGTGTACTACACTTACCAAGAATTTTAGAGTTCCGTAAGTCAATAAAAACATTAACTGAACATGTCAAAATTCAGTTAATATGGCAGCGCAGCTGCTGCAGAGTTCAGCTCTCATTATGCATACAGTCTGTCGGTTGGTTTGGAACCCCACAAGATTCTGTATAGTCTGTAGGTTTGCTGAGCATTGTTGGAAATGTTTTTCCAGAAACATCTGTGGTATCAAACTAAACTATCATTAGACTACAATCCTTAACATTCTTTTATCTTTAACTTTATGCTCCAAGGATTGAAGATCTTATTTCCACAGGCATTAAAGGACCACTATAGGCACCCAGGCCACTTCAGCTCAATGAAATGGTCTGGATGCCAGGTCCCTCTCGTTTTAACCCAGCAGCTGAAACTGCTATGTTTCACTGAGGGTTAATCCTGCCTCTAGTGGCTGTGAAAATCACACTAAGAAGACACTGGACGTCCATAGGAAAGCATTGAGTAATGCTTTCCTATGGGCAGTTTGACTGCGTGCGTGGCTCTTGACGCACATGCGCATTTGGGTCTGATGTCGGCAGGGGGAGGAGACGTCACCAGCACGAGAGAGCCCGAGCCTGGAGAAAGGTTAGTGGCTGATGGGGTTTTAACCCCTTCAGGCCAGCGGGAGGGGGGTCCTGAGGGTGGCAGGACCTAATGACCCTATAGTGCCAGGAAAACGAGTTTGATTCCTGGCATTATTAAATAAAGTATGAAGTGTGACCTTGTCTTGCATTCTGAGGATTATAGGATTGTGTTAAGTGAGGCATGTATATACTTGATGACATACAAGTAAGGTTGAAGATTAAATGAAACCTCTACTATTAATCTGAAAGGAGAAAAGTTAAAGTGCTAATTTGATGTAAATGGAACAAGCTAAATAAAGCAGTGGTTCCAAAACTTTTTAGGTTCAAGGCGCCCTTAATATTTCAATATTTTTCCAAGGCACCCCAAGTCAAAAATTCTAGGTTGTACATCTGTACAGCACTGAGACATTTACTGGTGCAATAGTGTAATATACAGTGTTGGTGTTTGAAGGGGTGCTTGTACATAGTTTTAGTGTTTTAATATAGGGGTGTGTTTGTAATGTTTGTGTTTGATTGTAGGGGTGTGTTTGTATATCCTTTTGGAGTTTGAATGAATGGGTGTGTTTGTATGTAATATTTGTGTTAGTGTATGTAACGGATCGCCTGGCACCCCGACTGGGTACCTCCGTTGAAGGATGCTCCTAGCGCTTCCTGAGGACTCCAAGCACTCTGGCAGACACCACAATCACCGAACTGGAGAAACAAATAAATTCTCCCAAGCATATAAATGCTGTAGACAGTTGAGTAGGTTTACACTCCTAGCAGTCAGACTGGAACAGCATACAATAAATCCTCCCCTAATAATGAGACGACACTTCACTTTGAGGGTTAAACAGGAACTCCCTGTACTGGCACATACAGCCTCTTTTATTCACAATCCACAAAACATAGTACTGCCCACAGGGTTTTGCAGAACCACCAATAAACACATTACAACACATACAATGCAAGTACAGCAGCCAATCAGACACAATGGGAAAATAGAAACACACCCAGCATATTCCTCCCCTCTGCTTAGGAGATAATTGAGTCGATTACTGTATCTACTCAATTATCTCCAAGCTGAAAAGTTACTTTTTGTACATTTTTATAAGTTTGTGAGTTAACATCGTACATACATAAAACTTATATTATTTTAACCAGTATAACTTGGGGACAAACATATCCAAAATTCACTTGAATAGGTTCAGGGGTTTAACGGTTAGGTCGAAGTCCTTTGTTTTCACTTGCAAGCATGATTTTTCCTGGCAAACCAGTTCCCACTGGTTTGGCAGTGTCCCTGGGACAACACCCTGCTGGAGAACAATGGATCCGGGGGAGGGGAAGAGGAAGTGTCCAAAAAGTTTCAGTATGTCTATACACTGTTTTTAAAAGGCCAGCACAGTACAATAAAAGTCCATTCACTGTGCTTAAAGGGCCAGTAGCCGCACAATAAAATACAATATGCCCAAATATTGCATTCAAAAGTACAACTTTACCAGGGGCCATAGTCAGTAGGTAGGAGGCGGGCAGCCAGGCCTCTCCAATGCCAGGTGGCGAGGCGGATTCCGCCACAGTGTATGACTGATTCGATGTATGCACATACACTACACATACATACCTACTTACACAGATATACATACACGCAAATACATATAGACACAGACACATACACACATCTTAACACATGCATACACCGACATATACACACACACCCACGCTGAAACACACACAAACATTGATATATGTACACACCCTGACATAAAGGCACACACAATGACACACAGATGTATATCCTGACACACAGATGTGTGCGCACACACAGATACACACACTGACACAGAAGCACACACTGACACACACACACACTCATACACACAATATTTTTAGTATCTCCAGCCACCCTCCTGTTAGATTACCTTGTGTGTCCAGGAGGGTGGCTTGGAGTCCTGGTCCTGCTGCTGCTGGAGGGAGTGAGGGGTCTGGAGGTCTTCGTGCTCCTCTCTCCTCATGTTGCGGCTGCCTCCTCTTCTCCAGCGCCGTCTCCATGCATGATGCTGGGAGGACAGGCTGTCACTTCCTCCCAACCGGCTGACATTACAGGCCCGGTCATGGTCTTAAAGGATCGCGGCACCCGACCAAGCCCCTATAATCATAGCACCGGGGAAACATTCCATGGCACCCCTGTGTGCTTATCGCGGCACCCCAGCTTGGGAACCGCTGCACTAAAGGATAATAAGAGTCAATGCCTTCTAGGTCCTGTCAAAGACATTTTAAACACTATAATGCACTTGGTGTTTCTTCACTATTATTATTAATGTGGGAAATATTGGGCCAAATATTGCAAATTCAGAGTTTAAGGGGCAATACCAGCAATGCTTGATTGCAAATATATGCTTGAATATCTTCCGAGAATGTTTTAAGACAAGGATATAAAGATAAGCGGACACCTGGATTTTCAGGTCCGGCCAAACTTTGAAAAAAAGTCCGGGTTTGGGCTCGAACTTGACCCCGAACCCCATTGAAGTCAATTGCGACCCGAACTCTTGACCACAAAAATTCCTCTAAAAAACTCCTTGAAAGAGCTAGAGAGCAAACAAATTTGGATAAGGTCACTTTATAAAAACATAAAAATTAAAAATACAGCTGAGCCATAAAATAGCACTAGATGGAATCTTTGATTTTAGCTTTGGAAGAACAACAAATCAAAATGGCTGTCAGGAGGGTCACCATAATTATCCATTTGAGAGAGGGTTGGAGTACAGGGTATTCTCTTTCATTGTTCAAACTGAGCTCAATTTCTAATGCATGAGAATGGGAAAAGGCCTTCACAAGCCTCTGCTATTGTGTACATAGTTTATACTAAGTGACCTATAGGTTGAGAAGGCGGTGACCGTGGCGGTGTACGTGGAAGCAGCGGTGGAGGAGGAGGATGAGGTAGCCAACACTGGTTTTTGGGGGTTTTTGGGGGTTTTTTTTTTTTGTAATTGTGGTAGCCCACAAAATATTGGGACATACAAAAAAAGAAACATTTGCGGCCTACGGTGCATTTCTTGCAGTCCTGATGCATGGAGAAAAGGTCTTCACAAGCCTCTGCTAATGTGTACCTAGTTTATACTAAGTGACCCATAGGTTGAGGAGGCTGTGACCGTGGTGGTGGAGGAGGAGGATGAGGTAGCCAACACTGTTATATATATATATATATATATATTTGGGAGTCTAGCCAACTCCTTGGTTTTGCACCCCTCCCTGTCACAGGTGCCTCATTTAGCCTTGTACTGCAGAGAGCCCCAGATGGAATTTTTTTCCTCAAGTAAGTGGTTAATCTCATAAGAGCAGACATTAGGCTGTTAGTGTAGGACCTGCCAAAGATGGGGTACATTGATGTTGTGGCAGGCTTATGCAATGTATGATCATATAATGTAACTAAACCCCCATTATTTTTGCCTAGATTTTAAAAAAACAAATCAAATCTTTCAACATTGAAGTTGCCGTTTGGTGGATAGGTGAGTGCGTTGGATATTGTGTTATATATATATATATATATATATATATATATATATATATTTATTTATTTTATTTGGGGTAGCCCCCAAAATATTGGGACATATAAAAAAGACAACTCTGTTCCGCACAGGCACTTTGTTGACTCTAGAGAACCTCGGGCCAATCGCACATCCTCGTGGCGGCGACTTTGCATGCGGATGTCATCCATATCAACTTTCGATGCCAGTTTCTGCACCTACCATGGTGACCACGGGTAACGGGGAATCAGGGTTCCATTCTGTACAGGGACCCTGAGAAACGGCTACCACATGCAAGGAAGGCAGCAGGCGTGCAAATGACCCACTCCCGATGAGGGAAGGTAGTGACGACAAATAACAATACAGGACTCTTTAGAGGCCCTGTAATTGTAATGAGTCCACTTGAAATCCTTTAACTCTGATCAATTGGAGGGAAGTCTGGTACAGAGCCACTGACCCGTGCGTGCTGCAGCTGAAACTCCACTATCGCCTGCTGCTGCTCGCACAGTCTCAGTCGCACAGTTACCCTGCACCAGACCCTGCTAATCCATTCCACACTGTGACTCCTAACTTCAACATCAGGCATACTGGGTCCGGTCGTCCGACTGCCGCCCAGACAGTGTCTGGGTCCTGGTCACCGGACTGCCCACCTCACTCTGAAACTACGAATGGATCGTAAAATCTGGTACGAACCCGAACTTTGCAGTTCGGGTTCGCTTAACTCTATTATGGATCATTTGATCGCTACATGTATTAATTGGATAACTGGTAATTCTCAAGCTAATACATGCCGACGAGCGCTAGGGGAGAGCCGCTCCGCTTTTGCACCCTGCTCCCTCTTATGCTGTGCTGGTGCCTCTGTGCGACCATCGCCTCTTCCTCCAAACTGCACACGTCACTCGCATGACTTTGATTCCATGTGGGGTCTAGGACCTCATCATCCTCCACATCATCTTCCACCCACTCCTCAACACTGCCCTCCTTGTCGGTATGCACACTACAGAAAGCCACAGCAGTTGGCACCCATGCTTTTCCAGCATGTAAGGTCTGCAAAGGACATATGGAAATTGTTTTAGAATTTTATCCAGGCAACAGTTTTCCCTATAAACTGACCTCTCAGTTTGACTTGTGAGGGTATTACCCCAGAATTACAATATTGTTGAAGTACCTCTTAGCTATTGATCACTGGTTTAAATATAGCAGCTTGTTATCTGGTAGTTTCTAGAGTAGAAAATATCAATCTGTTTTCTATCACTTAGATATGTGTAACAAGTGTTGTAGGTGTGAAACAATATTACAAGTAGTGATGTCGCGAACCCGAAATTTTCGGTTCGCGAACGGCGAACGCGAACTTCCGCAAATGTTCGCGAACCGGCGAACCGCCCGAAACGCCATTGACTTCAATGGGGAGGCGAATTTTAAAACACACAGGGACTCTTTCTGGCCACAATAGGGATGGAAAAGTTGTTTCAAGGGACTAACACCTGGACTGTGGCATGCCGGAGGGGGATCCATGGCAAAACTCCCATGGAAAATTACACAGTTGATACAGAGTCTGGTTTTAATCCATAAAGGGCAGAAATCACCTAACATTCCTAAATCACAATCAATATGGATTGACACCTGACATATGACATATTGACACCTTGACATATGGATTGACACCTGTCCTCAGAGCCCCTGATGCACACGGACACAGAGCAGAATAGAGACTGGTCCCCCTACATAGGGTCACTTGGCAGATATGGATTGACACCTGTCCTAAGGATCCCTGATACACACTGACACAGAGCAGAATAGGGACTGTTCCCCTACATGGGGTCACTTGGCAGATATGGATTGACACCTGTCCTAAGGTTCCTGATACACACTGACACAGAGCAGAATAGGGACTGGTCCTACATGGGTCACTTGGCAGATATGGATTGACACCTTGTTACAAACTGCTATTTGTAACGGGCCCTTTAAATGGCAATATTGCCCTGCTTCCCTGGGTTGTGGAGAAGCCTACTTTGCCAGCCTCCTCCCGCATGACTATGGCCCCTGGGAGATTGTGAAAATGTATGCACTTTTTATTTGGTGTGTATGGCCCTTTAAGACTGTCGGTGGGCATATTGGGGCTTATGGACTCTTTATGTGACTGGTGCTGGCCCTTTAAACACCTTTTTGGGACATCAGGAAGATTGGGACACTGCCCCTTTAAGGCCGTGTCCCCAGACTTGTTGGGGACACGGCCCCTTTAAGACGGTGTCCCCTGTGTCCCCAGACCTGGTGCAAACCCTTTGTGCCTGCCTTGCTATTTCCCACTTGGTTCAGTAAATGGGAAATTATTTCAGCTGCAGAGACTAAGTCCCATTCGGCGATGGGACTTAGTCTTTCAACCGTTTTTCAGCCTTATTTCAGCTGCAGAGACTAAGTCCCCGCGTGCGTGGGACTTAGTCTTTTCAACTTATTTCAGCTGCAGAGACTAAGTCCCATTCGCGATGGGACTTAGTCGTTTTTTCAGCCTGAAATAGACCGACCTCACAGCCCAAATCTGTGGAACTGTTTTGGGCAGGAAAATGTGCTTGCAGTCGGTCATAAAGGGACCTCCAGCTAACTTTTTAACCCCTGGATGGATTTGGCTGATTTTTGGTTATGTTTATGTTTTAAGTGTGCTGATTCAAAATATGTAATTATGAAGATGGGATGTGTAGTTTTAAA